GGGCTGTGGGCCACATTTTGCACCATGGGGTCTTGGAAGTGTCCAGTGCAATTAGGTGGGGTGTTGCTCCAGGGTGATGGTAGGGCCTGTGTCCCACTTGGGGGAAGCCAAGTGTTGGTTTGTCGGTGCCAGGCCCATGGTGCCGTTTATTTTTAAATGGCCAGTGCGCATCATGGCAGCTCCTGCATTAAGCGTCTGCCCTCTGGAGGTCAGTGCACATCATAGCTTCCAGTTGGAGGGAAGGACGACATTTAGCCTTTTATATATATAGATTTATTGAACATTTCCTATACATCAGGCAATGCTTTAGGTGTATGTGAATTAATTATGGACTTCTTCTAGGTCCCTGTAGATAAGTAAACACTATCATTCATGTTTTACCAATGGGGAAGCTAGGGTCAAGTCCCAAGACCAGCAAGTGGCAGAGGCAGAATTTAAAATGAAACCTTTGATTACAGAGTCTACACTTCACTAGTATGTTGCTCTGATTAAGGTGTGTTGTGGTTGTGGTCATGGGGAGGATATGGTGTTAAGACAGAGACAGGAGGAAGTGACCCTTGGACTGCTCATACTTCCCTGTTTCCTCGAGTTTCTTTTTCTTTGGTCCAGGTAATTTATTTGCTCCCATATTACTCTGAATGTGCCTTGTTGAAATGCCTTTGTGAGGAATATAAATGCCATATATGCCATTGATAACAATTTTTCAGCTTCTATGTCTATATGCCAATTGACTGAAACTATAGTGGGAGCAATTCTGCTCCTTATTTGGAATCTAAGTTCACCTACAGTGCCCGAAGTTTCATACTCTGAGTACAATAGCCCCGACATCTGAAGTCACCTTTATCTCTAGCTCTGTATATCAGCTTAACATTCCTACACACAGCACACCTGTTGCCCAATTACTCTTAAGTTCTTTGTCTGAACTATTCTTCCTGAAATCCCAATAGCTATTCTGCCTACAGCCTTTTGAATTAGTTCTATATACTTTTTCTTATTTTTGTTTGTATATCTTACTTTTCCTAATAAACTCTTTTGGATTGTCATATACAGTCATCACTTGGTATCCATGGGTATTGGTTCCAGGACCCCCTCAGATACCCAAATTCACAGCTGTTGAAGTCCCATGTATAAAATGGCACAGTATATGCATATAAGCTACACACATCATCCCACATACTTTAAATCATCTCTACCTTACTAATACCTAATATATTGTAAATGTTATGTAAATAACTGTGATACTGTATTGTTTAGGGAATAATGACAAGAAAAAAGTCTGGACTGTTCAGTAGAGTTGCAACCATAATAGGCCTAACTACATAACACATGTCAGAAACAATGTAACATATTTTTTTGGAATATTTTTGATCTGTGGTTGGTTGAGTCTATGGATGTGGAACCCATGGATATGGTGAGCCAACTGTACTCAGCATCTTTTGATGAAAAGCTGGTCATATCTTAGTTATCACTAGATGCCACAGAGTTGGTATCTTTGGTAATCTTTTTATGACAATCACAAATGGGGAACAGAGATTTTTTTTATATATATTTTATTGATTTTTTACAGAGAGGAAGGGAGAGGGATAGAGAGTCAGAAACATCGATGAGAGAGAAACATCAATCAGCTGCCTACTGCACACTCCCCACTGGGGACGTGCCCACAACCAAGGTACATGCCCTTGACCGGAATCGAACCCGGGACCCTTGAGTCCGCAGGACGACGCTCTATCCACTGAGCCAAACCGGTCAGGGGGGAACAGAGATTTTGACACTGCATATTCACCTGACAATGTGGATTGATATCAGAAATACAGGGTGGGGCAAAAGTAGGTTTACAGTTGTGAGTACATGAAACACAAAGTTTATTCTTGTGTCATTATTTGTTAAATTTTGTATCATTTTACATATGAACAACTGTAAACCTACTTTTGCCCCACCCTGTACACTAATAGTCTAAGGAAGCCAGGCACAAAATAATACATGAAGTATGAGTCAATTTATATATTTTTTCAAAATGGCCAAATCTAAATTGTAGTGTTTTATGAGGTAAGCTGAGATAATAAAGAATATCAAAATGAAGGATTTTATAAATGGAAAAAATGGTTTTTTTTAGAGGAAAGAAAAACTGGTGATTGGATAGGGTACACTAGGGGCTTCTAAGTTACTATTTCTTGACATGGGTATCAAGTGGCTAAGTGGCTACTGGCTTTATAATTATCACTAGCATCACGCTCTATGTTCCTTCCTGTATTTATGTGTTACATATATAATAAAAGAGCATTAAAAACCCACATCTGCTCTCCCCACCCTGAAGCCAAGTGAATGAATGACCTGAGCAGACCATGCTGCCCTGCCCCCTCCATATGATAAAAGGGACATAATATGCCTGAATCGGCTGCTTGTAAGTTAATAATAAATATATTTTGCTTCTCCATGATTCCTGAGCAGTCTTCTTGGTTTGACTCTACTTCAGTGGCAGATTGGAGAAAATTATGACTCTAAACCTGGAACCCTTAGTCTTGGAGTTTCATGTTGAGCTCAGATATAAGGAAATTTTAAAGATCTCACAAACTATTGGACATTTTTTGGCCACATTTAGGAGGTTGTTCATCCTTGCTTAAATTCCACAAGTTAAGCAGATGATGGCATGTAAAGAGGGATTGGTTAGTATACCTTTTCCACTGTCACAATCAAATGACACAATGATTCACGGAATTCTAAGAGGTCTAATAAAGCATCTAAATCATGCTGTCTCTTTCCTTATATACGATTTCCTGTCCTTTAATGCACATGCCCAGTGTTCTCATGCCCTGGGGACACCTCACTAGTTGTTGTTTTGTTCTGTGATATACTAGAATTAAATCAAGTTGTTACATTTTTTTAATCTTAAATTTTTTTTATTACTATTAACAGCTTGTGAAAACATTTCCCAAAATTTATTTTTAGTTTACAATAATGTCTCCCAGTAAATGTTTCACTATAAGCAACACTTTATAAATGTTAAAAGTCCCTAAGAAATTATATTAAAGCTTACAGTATTTTGCAAGGTTATTATGAAACTAGAGGCCCGATGCACAAAATTTGTGCAATGGTAGGCCTACCTTTCCCTGGCTGCCAGCTTCTTGGTCCTGGCTTCATGGCCTCACTCCCCAGCCCCCCCTGCACCTGCCTTGGCCTGATGCTGCCCGTGTCCACTACCACATACCCCCGGTTCCCCAGTTCCCAGAGCCCCCTGATCAATCGCCCCACAGAGGGTGGCCTGAGCTTCACTCTTTGGGGCAATCATGGAGCCCCCTGATTGATTGCCCCGCCAGCCGGTGGCCTGGGCCTCCCTCTGTGGGGTGATCATGGGGTGATGGCCTGGCCCCCCTGACCAATTGCATTGCACCTGCCTTGGCTGGGCTGGCACCAGTACATGTCATAGTGTGGTCATCCGGATGGTCATTTTGATGTTCGGCTGTTCAGTCTGCCGCAACCTTTGCAGCAGAGTTCAGGATCTGAAGGAGGGGCTGAGGCACAAATGAAAATACTATACAAGAAATATGAATTTAGAAGGCACAGGGGCCAGGTGGAAACCTCTCTCTAGGAGAGGCACGCCAACTTCTAGCTGGTCTGCTTTTTATTTACTTGAATACACATTTGCCCTTTAGCAATGCATACAGGCATATCAAAGGTAAAGTTTGGTAAACAGTAAAAGGATTATCAGGTTAGGGAATTGCCTTCAACCATTGAGTCCACAGCAGGGCAATATTATGCTGATTTTTAGCCCTGCTGAATATCAAAGTCCATTGGCCTTCCAATGGGTCTTTTTGCATCAATATGCTAACTACTGTTGGTTTTAGCCTCTGGCACAGTCGATTTGCATATTATGCTTTTTTTTATTATAGATGAGCTTTTCTTGGGCGGTCTGTGGTGGCAATGCTTGATCTAATGTTGTGTCCACTCAGGAATGGTGTCCTTTTCATTTTCTAGAGGGTCATATAACCCTTATATCTTAGTATTTATCTTTGTTATGCTAAATTTATTACTGATCTCTTTCAAGAATTCATTAAGTTGTAGGATAATTCTTCCACCTGAAGCCAAAGCATTACTATCTTATTTGGCAGCAAAATTTTATATCCAATTACCGTTCTGAATATTGTGAACTTGTTACCCTCTTTATAGACCTGGGTTATAGACTCCATTTTTGTAATGGACCCCAAATTTGTACTCTTCCTAGTACCCCAAGGATCCACAGATGTGCAGAAGCCCTTAAATCACAGCTACATATTTCATGTCATTCTGGCACAACTTGTTCCAGCTTAAAAAGCATTTTTCGATTTTTTTCCAATTTGTGACTCCAGCACCAAGTCCCATGCATTATTATCCAGAATAAGAGTAAGTCATCACACTTGCCTAAAAGGTCCTATATGACTACCCTTCATTTCTTCCAATGCTCCTTCTTACACATTATACTGTAGCTAACCTGGCTTCTTTAAGTACCCTGGGCATGCTCACACAGTTGTCTACTTGGCTCATTGCCTCACACATACCCTTCAGCTCTTTGCTCAACTCTTAACTCCTAAGTGGGAAATTCTATAACTAATTTACTTAAAAGTGCAACCTACCACTTCCACTAGTTACTTACTGTTCCCTTATTCTATTAATTTTTTCTATAGCACTTATCTGACATACTGTATTTTGGGTTTTTTTTTATGTCTTACTTCCACTGTCATTTCCAATTTTTTTCATTTATGTTCATAGCACAAAGAATTATGATGGGCCCATAGTAAACTGGTGACTGGTAAATGTATTGAATTGATGAACCATACTTTTCATGAGGAATTCATTTGAGGAATTAGTAACAGAAAAACTCATCTTCTTAAAAATTGCATTTATTTTATTTTCAATTTAAATTTTTAAAAGTCTCCTTCAATAGATTTATAGGAGAATTTATTTTACACAGGTATTGTTGATCTGATTATATGCATTTTGTGATTCTTGGGTGCTTTTCTTCTTAGGTTTAGGCATTTTAGAACCCTTGGGACATATAGATTTTTATCCAAATGGAGGAGAAAAGCAGCCTGGCTGTCCTACAACAATACTTTCAGGTACACGAATAGTATTTTCACATGAATTACATATGATTCAAAATGATGAAAGAAAATCAGTATTTTTTTTCTCCTCTTAAACTGTGGGGCAAAATTTTGATCACTATTGCCATGAATCGGGAGTTATTGGTGAAAAATGGTTAAGTTTTATCCTTCTTAGTTTGTAAAGTTTACCAGTAGATATACTATATGATCATGGATGAGAACTAGTACACTATGGTTTTAGCAGTTTTAGTTCTTAATTTTAACATTAGGAAAAGTTTTAAGTCATTGAAGGTGCACATGTAGCCAGCCAAGTATCATATACCACAAGTCTGGCCTCACAATTTAATCTTTACTGTCACCATAATATTGTATAAACACAGATTTATAAATTCTTGCACTTTGTTGTTTTGTACATAAATAGCTTAGAAACTTCTCCATGTATGGGATTGGGTTAACTTCAAAGCCTTAGAGAGTAATGCTCTAAGTTCTACAGTGATTAGGAACACATTGCTAGATGCCACTGCAGCAACAGAAGTTTGGTCAAAGGGATAAGGACGTGAGAAGTTGGCAAAGGAAAAGGGACATAATAAAGTTTTTAAAATAATCCTCACCTGTGAATATATTTTTCTAGAGAGAAGAAGTAAGAATATCCAAATGGAGGAGAAAAGCAGCCTGGCTGTCCTACAACAATATTTTCAGGTATACGAATAGTATTTTCACATGAATTGTATTTTCACATGAGTAGAAATGTTAAGAGTGTGGGGTTAGAAAAGAGATGTATATACTAGTCATTGTGAGAGAGAAACATTGATCGGTTGCCTCCCATATGTGAGTGGGGCTTGAACCAGCAACCTTTTGGTGTACAGGACGATGCTCCAATCAACTCAGCCACCTGGCCAGAATGGGACATGATAAAGCTTTAGTATTTCATAGTCATATTTGACATTGAGTAGAAATGTTAAGAGTGTGGGGTTAGAAAAGTATGACTAGAGGCCCATTGCAGGAAGATTCCTGCAAGAATAGGGCTTCCTGCGGCTGGAGCGAAGCAGAAAAGGGAGTGAAACCCGCCAAGGCAGGCTTTGCTCCCGCCTCCGCTGCCCCGCTTGCTTCCCTCCTGCCTCCACTACCCCCCTTGCTTCTCCACAGCTTCGCTCCCTTCTGCAGCTCTTGGGTTCCTTCTATGTTGTCTTCAGTCTTCGCTCGGTGCCTGCATATGCAAATTAACTGCCATCTTTGTTGGGTTAATTTGCATACTCATCTGATTGGCTGGAGGGCATAGTGGAGTGACACCAATTTGCATGTTTCTCTTTTATTAGTGTAGATAGCACCATGTTTGAGTTTGTTAAATTATTGAAATTAAAAAATTGCTGTTAATGATTAGGAAAATTTCTTATAAATATGATGTAAAGGGAATATTAAACTTAAGTTTTAATTTGTATGACTTATTTAGTTGCTCACAATAACACTGCATTGTAGTCAACACTTTAATATTCATGAAGCAGTATTGAGTAGAACTTAATTTTTAATTTTTCTCCAATTTTCTTGAACTCAGTCTAATGCATTTACAATTCTTTTGCTTGATTTTTAACACTTAAGGAATGCAATTTATTAAATGTGACCACCAGAGAGCAATCCACTTGTTCATGGCAGCTTTGGAAACAAACTGCAATTTTATTTCATTTCCTTGTCATTCATACGAAGATTACAAGACTGGTTCATGTATGGATTGTGACAACTTTAAGAAGAAATCATGTCCTAGGCTAGGTAAGAGAGATTATTATAATTACCATAATTCTTTTTGGGAAATGTATAGCATAATTGTATTAGTATTTTGCTGCTTCAAACTTTCCTATTTATTTGTATGTCAACATTTTATGGAAAAATTATCTGTGTAGTAATCAGAAAAAAATAGTTCACTTTTTACTAAATATTTTTAATATGTGTAGTGAGGGGAACTTGATCAACTGCCTTTCTATTCTCAATAGAGTGGAAAAATTTGGTGGTTTCATGATGACCCATGTTCTTTATATTCAAAAGGACTCATTATCTATTTGTCATCCATCTACTAGTATATTTCCACTAAAGAAAGAGACTGGTGCATTCTTAGTGGCACTGAGATTTTTTTTTTTTTTTTTAGTGTTAGGAGCAATTGAAGAGGTGTGAATCATAATCATAGTTAGCTTTTCATTTGCTATTAGCAAGTAGACATGACTCATACATGGTTCACACCTTCTGAAGTGATAAAGCTTGGTAAGAGCATTTAAGTGTTGCCACTTCTGAGAACTAAAGCCTGCCAGTGGGAAATTTGGTGAAAAAAAGATTCCACATAAAAGTAGAATGTTAGAGCTGGAAAGAATCTCAAAGTCTGTTTGTTCAGAGATTCTAAAGAGAATAGCAAAACCCAAGCGTGTCATGAGCATGTAAACATCTGATCAGTATCATGACAAGGTCTGCCAGATATGCTTCCAAAGCCAAAGGGCTCAATTGAATGGGCAGCAATTACAAAGGCTGAACTGAACAGCCTCCCGCAATTTTCTTTAACAGGAGGTTTACACTAAGGTACAGAGAATTGGAAATAAGCAAGCTTTGCCAGTTTTATTTTCTTGTAGTCAGACCACAAGACGTTTTGTAGAATTAGTTTTCTTCAGACCTTATTTTGGGGGTTGCTTCTCTGGTCCCATTACTTTTCCATATAAATAAGAAGCCTCCTGTGAACATATGGATTGCTTCAGGGTACAAGTGAGAACTAGCAATAAACCTCTGAATTCCCAGTTAAGTATCCTTTCTACTATATTCAGATCTCAAATTTAGAGGTAGCAATGTGGAAACAGATAAATACATGAAGTGAGAAGCATTTTAATATGTACCTATTTGTATAATACATGTTCCTCATAATGTATGTATCTACAATATATATCACTTACATAATATATAGTGCATATCAATGCTACCTATACTATATATTATATATAATGTATACATAGGCATACTGTATTTATATGAATGTATATGTAGAAGTATTGGGGGCAGTACTCATAGAGCTAAATTTAGTGTTAAAGTTTTATGTAATTGATTTATTCTGATGACTTTACTAAAAAGAGTTACAGGTACGATTCTGAACTTGTAATACAATAATGAAAATGTGTACAAATGGACTGTAGACATATGGAGTACATTAAGTTCTGATAAGATTTCCAGGGAGTGGATTTATTTGTAAGTCTTCAATTTAAGACTTATTATTGTAATTAAAATATGTGAAATTTGAAAAGTTTTAAGTTATAAAAATCCATGAATAATAATAGCAATAATAATAATAATAATAATGATAATAATATACATTGATGCTTTAGTTTCTTTAGGAAATTGAAGTTTTTACATGCTATTTGATGGAAGTCCAATTTCTAATGTTCTATTTCTCAAATATCAGGTTATCAAGCTGAGCTATGGAAAGATGTTTTAGAAGAAAGAATGAAAAGATCTCTTAGGACGACTGCGTTTTTGGATACTACTGGCATAAATCCATTCTGTAGTAAGTAAAAAATGTTTTTTTAATATATTTTTTATTTCAGAGAGGAAAGGAGAAGGAAGAGAGAAATATAAACATCAATGATGGGGAGAATCATCGATCGGTTGCCTCCTGCATGCTCCCCACTGGAGGTTGAGTCCATAACCTGGGCATGTGCAAGCAAATAATAATTTTCCCAACATATTTATAATTACACAAGAGGAAAAATTTGAAGAACAAGAGAGAATCTTTTAGCAATGTATTACATAATGAATTTATAAGGTGATAGATAAGAAAGCAAAATTATTCTGTTTAGAGATGAAAAGCTTGAAGTGGTTTATAAATAAAAGTTTCTAGTCACAGTCATTGACTTTGGTTATTGAGGGATAAATATTTAAAATAGATTCTCATATTTAAACATATGTTTAGGTCAGTTGTTGTAAATGTTTTGTAGTCACAGTTGCTATTCATTATAAGTATTATAATTCTTTAAACATTAGTGATGTCTTCTATCATCCAGAATTGGACCTGTGCATTTATTAACTTAAATTTTTATCAAGTTAAATTTAGATTTACATATAGATATAAGAAATAATACAGAGAGACCCTGTGTACACTTTATCCAGTTTTCCTCAATGGTAAAATTTCATAACACTGTAAAATATAATATCTTAGTGGCACTGAGAACATTGATACAAGCCAAGATACTGACATTGATACAATCCATATATCTTATTTATATTTCTGGAAAGAATATGTGTGTGTGTGTGTGTGTGTGTGTGTGTGTGTGTGTGTGTGTGTGTGTTTAGCTCTGCACAATTTAATCACACATATAGAGTTATGTATTTACAACCATACTAAAGATATGAAATAGTTTTATCACAAGTATTCCTTGGGTGGCACTTTTATAACCACATACAACACCTTCCTTCCAATCAGCTGTTCCTAACCCCTATTATCCATTAATAAATTCCTAAAATTATATTTTGAAAATGTTACAAAAAGGGAATAATTCAGTATGTGACCTTCTAATTGACCTTTTCCCCCCACTCAGCATAATTCTCTGGAGGTTCATCCATGTTTTAGTATGTATGAATAATTCATTTGTTTTTATGCTGAGTAGTATTCCATGGCATGTGTGTACTATAGTTTGTTTAATCATTCATCTGTTGAAGAACATTAGGTTTTGGCTATTATTAATATAGCTGCTGTATAAGTTTTTGTGTAAATTTAAATTTTTATTTATCCTATATAATAAAAGCCTAATATGCTAAGTGTCTGGTCAACCAGTCGGTCATTCAACCAATCAAAGCATAATATGCTAATGATATGCTAAGGCTGCTCAACCATTTGCTATGATGTGCACTGAACACCAGGGGGCAGATGTTCTGATTGGTAGGTTAGCTTGCTGCTGGGGTCCAGCCAATGGGAACTGAGCAAGATGGGCCAGACACACCCCCCTCCTGCAGTCCCTCCTTGGCTGGCCAACCTCCCGAGTCCCTCCCCAGCCTGATCATGCACCAGTGGGGTCCCTCGGCCTGGCCTGCACCCTTTTGCAATCCAGAACCCCTTGGGGGATGTCAGAGATTCAGTTTTGGCCCGATCCTGCAGGCCAGGCTGAGGTAACCCACTGGTGCACAAATTTGTGCACCAGGCCTCTAGTCTCTTATAAAAGTCCAGGAATGCAATTGCTGGCTGGGGTCAGAAGCTAATTGCAGATTTAACTTTATAAGAAATTTACAGTGTTTTTCAGAGTGGCAGTACCCTTTTACATTCCTCTCAGCAAGTGATTCAATTCCTCTGATTTCTTACTAATGTTTGATGTTACCATAATTTTAAAAATTGTATTCATTCTGATAAGCAAATGATGATACCTTAGTACAGTTTTTATTTTTTGTTGCCCTGACAATTGAATATATTTTCTATATATTCTCTTCAGTGTAATGAGTGTTTGTGTCTTTTGCCCATTTTTCAATTGGATTTTTTAAACTGTTGAGTGTTCAGGGCTCTTAATATATTTTTGATAGTATCCTTTGATGGATAATTGGTTTGCCAATATTTTCTTCCTGTCTGTAATTTGACTGTCTTTTTATCTTCTTCACAAGGGGTTTTGCAAAGTCAAAAGTATTTACTGTTGATGAGGTTTAATTTATCATTTTTTCCATTAATGGAACAAGCTTTTGATGTCAAACTTAGCCCTAGGTCCTGAAGATTTTCTTCTAAAGTTTTATGTGTTATATCTAAGTCTGTAATCCATTTTAGTTTAAATTTTGTATAATATTTGAGATTCAGATTAAAGTTAACTTTTTTTTTTTTTGCCTAAAGATGAACCTTTTTATTAGGCACCATTTGTTGAAAAGGCTATCCTTACTTTATTGAAGTGCTTTTGCACCTTTATAAAGAATAAATTAAGCATATTTGCTTAGGTCTATGTCTACTGGGTCAATATTATGTTCTCTATTCTGTTGCATTGATTTATATGTCTAGACCTCACTGTATTAATTACTAGAGGTATGTAGTAAGCCTTATTATCAGGTAGAATTATTATTTATTATTTATTTGTTTTTGTACTGATTATTTTAAATATTCAAAAGTATGTGCCTTTTAATATACATTTTTGTACAAAAATGTGACTGGGATTTTGGTAGGGATTACATTAAACCTATAGATCAATTTGGATAAGATTGACATCTTCATTATAAGTCTTTGATTCATGAACATTTGCTATATCTCCATTTGCTATCAATCTTTGATTTATTTCATTAGCATTTTGTAATTTTCAGCATACAGATTCTCTGTAACTTTTGTTACATATATACCTAAATATTTCATTTTTCTAAGTGATGGTAAATAATATTTAAAATTTTGATAACTTCATGTTCATCATTAAAATAAAAAAAGGGAATGAATCTTTTTAAAAGAACTTTATTATTGACTAGAGGCCCGGTGCACAAAAATTGTCACTTGTTGGGAGGGGTCCCTCAGCCCGGCCTGTGCCCTCTCGCAGTCTGGGACCCCTCAGGGGATGTGCACCTGCTGACTTAGGACCGCTCCCCAGGGGATTGGGCCTAAACTGGCAGTCAGACATCCCTCTGGCAGCCCGGGGGCCCTTGGGGGATGTCCACTTGCCAGCGGGGAGCAGGCCTAAGCTGAAGTCAGACATCCTTAGTGCTGCTGAGGAGGCAGGAGAGGCTCCCGCCACCCCTACTGTGCTGGCAGCCATCAGCCTGGCTTGTGGCTGAGCAGAGCTCCCCCTGTGTGAGTGCACTGACCACCAGGGGACAGCTCCTGCATTGAGCATCTGCCCCTGGGTAGTCAGTGTGTGTCATAGTGACCAGTCATTCCGAGTGGTTTTGTTGTTAGGGTCAATTTGCATATTACCTTTTATTTTACAGGATAGAGGCCTGGTGCATGGGTGGGGGCCGGCTGGTTTGCCCTGAAGGGTGTTCTGGATCAGGGTGGGAGTCCCGCAGGGTTGCCTGGCCAGCCAGGGTGAGGGGCTGAGAGCTGTTTTCAGGCTGGCCACACCCCCTTCAGGGTGGGGGTCCCTACTGGGGTGCCCGACCAGCCTGGGTGATGGGGTTATGGCTGTTTGCAGGCTGTCCACTCCCCCTTCAGGGTGAGGGGTCCCTCTGGGGTGCCTGGCCAGACTCGGTGAGGGGCTGAGGGCTGTTTGCAGGCTGGCCACAGCCTCTTCAGGGTCAGATGCCCTACTGGGGTGCCCGGCCAGCCTGGGTGAGGGGCTGAGGGCTGTTTTCAGGCTGCCCACAGCCCCTTCAGAGTGGGGGGCCTTACTGGGGTTCCTGGCCAGCCTGGGTGAGGGCTGATGGCCGTTTTCAGGCTGGCCATGGCCCTGGGCTGGAAGCAGGTATCTGGGATTTATTTATCTTCTATAATTGAAAATTTGTAGCCTTGAGTGGAGCTCAGGGCCTGCAGAACAGGGGGCAAGCTTAGCTTCCTCCACTGCTGGGGACAACTTAAGCCTCCTGCTTGACAAATTAGTTCTACCATGCAGTGGTTTCACTTGTCATTTTGCTGATGGTTTCTTGTGCTGTGTAGAAGCTTTTTATTTTTATGTAATCCTATTTGTTTTTCTCCTTACCTGAGTTTCATTTGCCCTAGGAGATGTATTGGTCAACATATTGTTATGAGAGATATCTGAGATTTTGCTGCCCATGGTGTCTAAGATTTTTATGGTTTTAAGACTTACATTTAAGTCTTTTATCCATTTTGAGTTAATATTGTGTATAGTATAAGTTGGTAGTCTAGTTCAGTGATGGCGAACCTTTTGAGCTTGGTGTTTCAAAATTTTGAAAAACCCTAACTTAACTCTGGTGCCGTGTCACATATAGAAATATTCATTTTTTTTGATATTTGCAACCATAGTAAAAAAAAAAAATGTATATTTTTGATATTTATTTTACACATTTAAATGCCATTTAACTAAGAAAAATCAAGCAAAAAAATGAGTTCGCGTGTCACCTCTGACACGCGTGTCATAGGTTCGCCATCACTGATGTAGAGGAACTGACTCCCTCATAAATTGCTGGAAGAATGTAAAAAGTATAATCAGTTTATACCACAACTTGCTAATACTGTTAAGTTAAATATTCATAGGACTCAGACTATTCACTGAGTTATTGACAAAAGTAAACAAAAACATATCTATATAATGATACACATACGCTTGTACCAGCTTTATTTTTAAAAATCTATTTA